AAGTAATAAAGAAAACAATCCCTTCACAATAGCATTAATAACAATAAAGTACTTAGGAATAAATTCAGTCAAGGAGATGAAAGATCTGTATACTGAAGACTACAAGATTTTGATGAAAGAAATTGAAGAAGACACAAACAAATGGAAAGGTATCCTGTGTTCATGGATTGAAAGAATTAATTTTGTTAAAATGTCCATACTATGCAAAACCATCTATAGATTCAATATAGTTCCTATAAAATTCCAATGGCATTTTTCACAGAAATAGAAAAAACAACCTTAAAGTTTGTATGGAATCACAAAAGAACCTGGGTAGCCAAAGCAATCCAGAGAAATATCAAAGCTGGAAGCCTCACACTTCCTGATTTCAAATTACACTACAAAGCTCCAGTAATTAAAATGATGTGGTACTGTCATAAAAATAGACATAGACCCATGGAATAGAATCCAGAGCCCAGAAATAAACCCTCACAAATACAGTCAACTAATACTCAATACTCTTTTCCATATGGTGATGGTTAAACTGGATAACCACATGTAGAAGAATGAAATTGGACTTCTTAAGACCACTCACAAAAAAATTAACTCGAAGAGGATTAAAGACTTAAAAATAAGAACTTAATGGTAAAACTATAAGAAAATATAGGGGGAAAATCCTTGACATCAATCTTGGAAACAATTTTTTTTGATATGACACCAAAAACACAAGCAACAAAAGCAAAAACTAGTGGGACTGCATCAAACTAAAAATCTTATGCATAGTTAAGGAAACCATCAACAAAATTAAAAGGCAACTCATGGAATATATTCTTAAATCATATTCTGATAAAGTGTTGATATCCAAAATATATAAAGAACTCATACAACTCACTAGCAAAAAACAAACAAAAACAAAAACAAACAAACAAAAATCTAATTTAAAAATGGATAGAGGACCTGAACAGACACTTTTCCAAAGAAGACATACAGATGGCCAACAGACACATGAAAAGATGTTCAACATCACTAATCATCAGGGAAATGCAAATCAAAACCACAATGAGATCTCATCTCACACCAATCAGGATGGCTAGTACCAAAAAGACAAGAAATAAGTCTTGGCAAGAATGTAAAGAATAGGGAACCCTTGTGCACTGTTGCTGAGAAAGTAAATTGGTGCTGTTACTTGGAAAACAATATGGAGGTTCCTAAAAAGTATAAATAGAGCTACCATGTAACCAAGCAATCCCACTTCTGGGTATATATCCAAAAGAAAGAAAAACATATCAAAGAGATATCTGTACTCCCATGTTCATTGCAGCCTTGTTCACAACAGCCAGGATATGGAAACAATCTAGGTGTCTGTCAATGGATGAATGGATAGAGAAGATGGGTATACACAGACAATGGAATATTGTTTAGCCATAAGAAAGAAGGAAATTTTGCCATTTGCAACCATATGGATGGACCTTGAAGGCATTATGCTAAGTGAAATAAATCAGACAGAAAAAGACAAATACTATATGATATTGCTTACATATTGCATCTAAAAAAAGCCAAGCTCATAGAAACAGAGAATAGTGGTGGTTACAAGGGGATGGGAGAAATGGGTAGATATTGGTCAAAGTGTACAAACTTCTGGTTATAAGATGAATAAGTTCTGGAAAACTAATATACAGCATGTTGATTATAGTTGATAAACTGTATCATATACTTGAAAGTTACTAAGAGAGTAGATTTTGAATGTTCCCACCATAACAAAGAAATGGCAATTATGTGACATGATGGAGCTGTTAGCTAACTCTATGGAGTGATCATTCCAATATGTGTAAGTGTATCAAATCAATACAGTTGTATACCTTAAACTTACACAATATTACATGTCAATTATATTTCAATAAAACTGTAAAAATTGACATTAAAATAAGAAAGTAAAAAAATCACCAAGGCTAAAGATAAGGAACGCCTTCACTTGGATGTTGTGGTCCTATATTAATGCCAGTTTTTGGAACAGTCAGTGTTTACTGACTGATTTGAAATTCTTACTCTTAAATAATGATGGGAGGTAGCTCAACCAGTGGTTAATTTGAAAAAAAAAAAAACAACAACAACAACAGAGAAACTAACTTGTATTACATGCTTACTATGGACCAGGTACTGTGTCAAATAATTTCACATCTGCCTTGATGGTAGGCAAGGATTAAGTTGAATTGAATTTTGAGTCTCTTGTGTCAAACGTATAGTTTAGTACATAGTGAGCCTTCAAAAGTGTTGAATGTTACTTCTCCTTATACACCAGGATCAAGTAAGTTTTATCCCAGAAATGGAATGATTATTCAACATTAGACTGTATTAACCATGTCTTTTATTTTGTGTTCTGATACCCTGACATCTGGGGCCTTGCTTTCCCTGGAAGGACTAAACTGCTGTAGTTAGCCAATTCCTAGAGATATTAAACAACTCACCCATAAACGTGCTTTTCAAAATGTGATTTTCAAAAGAACGAACCAATACAGAGCCCACAGGACAGCACCTCATTTACTGGGTTCTCACACTATAGACCTCTATCCCCTTATCCTAATAATTCCAGGACCAGGTACCAAACCACTACGGACAGTCCCTGTGCCCCAGAGCCTGCTGAAATTATTCAGATTAGTCAATTCTGAGCCAATTTACCCTGCCTCACCCCTTCCTTCCTCAGAAGCCACAATAAAGCCTCTTGCTCACAGTTTCCCCTTCTTCCCCTCTGTCCAGCCCCAGTGTTTCCATGTGTGGCCCACCATGGCATGGTGTGTCCCTTCCTCTTGGGGACAGTGAGTAATAAAGTGTTCAGTAAATGAAAACTATGAGCTAATATTATTATTATCAATATTACTATACATTGATATACTCCTAAATATAGCCAATATTTTATCAGAAATGAATGTTCAATGAGGATTACTTGCTATATATATTTCACTGTCAATTAGAATTTTCTAAGTGTTTTTAGATTAAGCTATCACTTATTTCATATTAGTTGCCACTAGATAAATTGTGCAGAAGACTTCAGTTTAATTCAATTGAATGCTTCTTGACTGTCTATGTTTTAAAATATAGTGTATTAACAGAAAATTTGAGATATAGTAAGGCTAACAGATCTGGAAATGATTGGCATTGAAAAGACAGCTTATTACTCACTGTAATCCTCATTGAACATTCATTTCTGATAAAATATTGGCTATATTTAGGAGTATATCAATGTATAGTAATATTGATAATATTAGCTCATAGTTTTCATTTACTGAACACTTTAACATATTAACTCTCAGACCAACCATATAAAGTACACAAAAGAATTTATATTGTTCTCATTTTTATTGCTGGAGCTGTACATTTTCAGTGTGATTAAATTATTCAACCATATACAGCTTTTGGAACAAAAATAGAACTTCTAAAATTTATTTTTGTAAAATAGCCAAAAATACTAAAAGGCAACCTATGGAATGGGAGAAGATACTTGCAAATGTCTTATCAGATTAAGGGCTAGTATCCAAAATCTATAAAGAGCTTATCAAACTCAACACCCAAAAAACAAGAAATCCAGTTAAGAAATGGGCAGAAGACATGCACAGACATTTCTCCAAAGAAGACATACAAATGGCCAACAGATGCATGAAAAAATGCTCAATATTACTCATCATCAGGGAAATACAAATCAAAACCACCATAAGCTGCCACCTCATACCGGTCAGAATGGCTAAAATTAACAACTCAGGAAACAACAGATGTTGGTGAGGATGCAGAGAAAAGGGAACCCTCTTACACTACTAATGTAAACCGGTACAGCCACTCTGGAAAACAGTATGGAGGTTCCTCAAAAGGTTTAAAATAGAGCTACCCTATGACCCAGCAAGTGCACTATTAGGTATTTATCCAAAGGATACAAAGTGATTCGAGGGGGCACATGCACCCCAATGTTTATAGCAGCAATGTCCACAATAGCCAAAATATGGAAAGAACCCAGATGTCCATCAACAGATGAATGGATAAAGATGTGGTATATATAGTGGAATATTACTCAGCCATCAAAAAGAATGAAATCTTGCCATTTGCAGCAATGTGGATGGAACTAAAGGGTATTATGCTCAGCGAAATGTCAGTCAGAGAAAGACAAATACCATATTATTTCACTCATATATGGAATTTAAGAAACAAAACAGATGAAGATAGGGGAAGGGAAGGAATAATAAAATAAGATAAAATCAGAGAGGGAGGCAAACCATAGAGTCTCTTAACTCTAGGGGGTTGTTGGAGGGGAGGTAGGTGGGTGAAGGGGTAATTGGGTGATGAGCATTAAGGAGGGCATTTGATGTAATGAGAACTGGGTGTTACATGCAACTGATTAATCACTAAATTCTACCCCTGAAATTAATAATACAGTATTTTTTAACTAAATTGAACTTAAAAAAATTTTTAATTTATTTTTGTTACTTTTTGGTTACTACAATTGATTCATAAATATTACTTAAAAATATTGGGGATACAGATAAGGAATATTAATGATAGTCACCTATACTTGGAAGCCATCATGTTAACATTTAAGCTATAGCCACACATACACAAGAAGTAAAAATTGTTCTTCACAAAAAAACATTCTGAATGTCTTTCTATGTTAACAAATATTTACAAGATAACTCTTAGGGGATACTTCATAATCCATTGTATAGATATACTCTTGTTGGATTAGGTCCTTTCCAAGTTTTTGCAATAATTAGCTTCTCTTATGTCCATCTATGAACTTAACTTATGTCTATGAGTCAGAAGATGATATCAAGTTTGACCTCTTTTCTAATTCACTGTTTTATGTAATAGCACATTAGTATTTCTTGTAGAATTTCCCTCATATAAAACTTGAGACTGACAATTTCCACAGGATTGTTGTGAGGCTGAACACATGTAATACTCATAAAAATGCTTTGACAAATTAAAAAATATTTTCAAATGCTAATTTCCTTGACTAAATGTACATTTTATATCAACAGGTTTAAAACCTCAAAAAGGCTTTTGGACTCACTGGAAACTAGAAGAGCTCACCACAACAACCATACATGGTACTAAGAAAGCACCTTCAACATCTATAAAGGACAGGATTGAAAGGAGTCAAACACGTATAATGGCTGGTAAGTAAGTTTATTGTCAACTGCAGGATGAAATAGCCAAAATCAAGTATATTAAGTTATGGATTTACCATAATTTTCTATTAATTAATTCTTTGGAGGGTCTTAAAATAAGATTGGTGTTATAGTAGTTTGAATATTGCTTCACATTTTAGTTTTTCATTATAAAATGGTATGTGCTTAATTATGTCCTCCCATTTGCCTGTTGTATTCTTATATTTACCTTCTATCCTACAATCTCATTAGTTCTAGTAGGCTTTTTATAGATTTCTTAGGATTTTCTGCTTGGAAAATCCTGTCATCTGAGAATAAAGAGCATTTTACTTCTTCATTTCCAATCTATATGACTTTTGTTTCTTTTACATGCTTATGACTAGGACCTCTAAGAAAATGTTAACTAAAAGAGGTAAGAGTGGATATCCTTGCCTCATTCCTGACCTTAGAGGGGAAATGTTACATTATTTGCCTTTAAATAGATTTGGGCTGCCAGTTTTTATAGATGCCTTTTGTCAGGTTGAGGTAGTTTCATTCTCTTCTTGGCTTGCTGAGAATTTTTTTTTTAATGCATGGATAGATGTAGGATGCTTTTTAGCATCTATTGAGATGAACCTATTTTTTTTTTCTGTTTTAGTCTTTTAATATAGTGAATTACAGGGACTGATATTCAAATGTTAACCCAACCCTGCATCTCTGGGATAAATCCCATTTGACCATTGTGGATTAACTTATTCATCTACTACTGGATTTAATTTTATAAAATTTTGTTTTATTTTCCTGTACTATCCTGTCTCATTTTAGTAATAAGCATTATGTTCCCTCCTCTTCCTTTTTAAAACGAGTTAGTATAAAATTGGTATTTATTCTTCTTCCCATATATGGGAGAATTCATTAATGAAGCCATCAAGGCCTATAATTTTTTCTGTGGGAAAGTTCTTAACAACAAATTCAGTTTCTCTAATAGATGTAGGGCTATTCTGTTATCAATTCCTTCTTAAATGAACTTAGTTGTTTTGTGTGAATTTTTATTTTATTCCTTTAAATATTTTTGAGTTTTTTTTCTGGGATGCAATCCAGTTACTTAGAAATATTTTGACCCATTTGAGCCTTGCTTTCAAGCTTCATTAGGTAGAACCAGCAAAGTCTTTTGTCTAGGCCTAACTTGCTTTTCCTGATGAGGCAATACCCTTCTCAGTATTCTACCCCTTGCTCTGTATTGAAGATTTCCCATCTGATTGCCTAGAATATGAGCTTTGTGTGAGCCCCAAGCAGTGTTCCGCCTGCTCCTTCCTGTGGGTGGTTCTTTACCAACTTCAGGCACAGGGTCAAGGATAACCCTCTGAGGATCTTTAGAATGCTCTCTGTGTGCATCTGTCTCCTCATTATGCTGACCTATGAACTGTAGCTTTGCCATCACCTTCCTGAATGCTAAATTTTACTTTCTCAACTCAGTGAGACTAGTGGATTCTGTTTGGATTCCCATTCCTTGCACTGCGGGGAGGAGACAATTGAAAGGCTCCTACATTTGTTTCTCTTTTCTTAGGGATTACTGACCTGTGCTGTCTATTGTCTAACACATAAAAACCATTTTTTCATATATTTTGTCCAAATTTTTAGTTGTTTAAGAAAGAAGAGTAAATCCAGTCCTTGTTACTCCATAATAGCTAGAAGTGGAGGCAATTATATATATTTTTAAAAGATTAAGAGAAGACTTAAAATATTCTCCTGTATTTATCCATATATTTATCCTTCCTAGCACTTCATTCCTTACTATAAATTTGAGTTCCTTGTGGTGTTATTTCCCTTCAGTCTGAGAAACTGCCTTTTGGCAGTTCTCATAGTTCAGTTTTTCTAGCAATGAATTTCCTTGTTTACTTATCTAAAAATAGTGTTCATTTTGCCTCTATTTTTGAAGGATATTTTTGCTGGGTATAGAATTCTGGGTTCATTTTTCTTTTGCCTTTTAGCAAGATATTGTTCCATTGTGTTCTGGTTTCTATTATTTATAATGAAAAGTCAGACATTATTCTTATTATTATTTCACCATGTCTAGGGTCAGAAACTTCTGTGAAGGGCCAAAGAGTCAATATTTTAGGTTTTGTTAGAAACATATCATCTATTTTTCTTTACAACTCTTTAAAAATATAAGACCCTTCTTAGGTTCCAAGTGATATGAAAAATAGGCCATGGACTGGATTGGACCTCCAGGCTGTAGTTTGTTGATTCCTACTCTATTCAATGTGCCTTTTTTCTTCTAGCTACTGTTAAGATTTTTCTATTTGTTCTTGGTGTTCAGAAATTTGTCCATGATGTGCTGACATACTTTTCTTTGTCTTCATTCTACTTGGCCTCATTAATTTTCTTAAACCTGTGATTTGATGTTTTTCACCATTTTTTTGCCATTATATTTCAAATAAATTCTGTTCTATTTCTCTTCTCTGGGACTCCAACTTAGCATGTATTATATTACTTGTTGTCCATGGTTCACTGGAACTTTGTCAGTTTTTTTTCAATTTTTTTTTCTCTAAGTTTTATAGATTTCATATTTCCATTTACTTCATTTTAAGTTCACTGACTCTTCTATGGTCTATGATCTACTCTTAATCTCAATAAATGAATATTTCATTTCATATATTGTACCTTTCAGTTAAGAATTCCCATTTGGTCCTTTTTTTTCTCTCTCAATTCGTACTCCTTTATTTCATTTTATTTTTTTTTAATTTCAGTATAGTTAATATACAGTGTTCTATTAGTATTGGCATACAATGTTGTGATTCAACAATGTTGTACATTACTCAGTGTTTTTTAGTAGTTTCTATTTCTATTCTGAGATTCTCTTCCTTCATTATGGCTGTATTATCTTAAGTCCTCAAACATATTTAAAATAGTTGCTTTTAAGCTCTTGTCTGGTAATACCAACATTTGGATAACTATGAAATTGATTTCTATGACTATCTTTTTCTTGACTCACAATTTCTTGTCTCTTTTCATGTTTTTATGTAATCTTGGGATTTGAGTGAAAGTTTGAGAATATTCTGAATTCTGTTAACTTCCACTAAACAATGTTAATTTGTGTTCAAGTAAGTTACTTTGGCTGTTTCAAAGTCCAAATGTTATGGGTTCTGTAATAGTCAGCCACTAAAATCTCCACTTAGAACTTTTAGCCATCCATCTATTCCTTTCCACCCATCCCTCTAGAGCTCCCTCTTCCCACCTTATACATGAGTAATTCAGACACCAGACAAGGGTTTGGAGAGAGCTTATAATATTCAGATTCTGGGTTTCCCCCTCTGCAGCCCCTTTCTTTTTTTTTTTTTTCCCATGTTCTCCAAATTTTTTTATTATGTTAATCACCGTACATTACATCATTAGTTTTTGATGTAGTGTTCCATGATTCATTGTTTGCGTATAGCACCCACTGCTCCATTCAATACGTGCCCTCTTTAATACCCACCACCATCCCCCCACCCCCCTCCCCTCTAGAACCCTCAGTTTGTTCTTCAGAGTCCATAGTCTCTCATGGTTCATCTCCCCCTCCAATTTCCCCCCCTTCATTTTTCCCTTCCTACTATCTTCTTTTTTTTTTTTTTTTTTTTAACATATAATGTATTATTTGTTTCAGAGGTACAGGTCTGTGATTCAACAGTCATTAGTTTTTGATGTAGTGATCCATGATTCATTGTTTGTGTATAACACCCAGTGCTCCATGCAGTATGTGCCCTCTTTAATACCCATCATCAGGTTAACCCATCCCTTCATCCCCCTTCCCTCTAAAACCCTCAGTTTGTTTCTCAGAGTCCATAGTCTCTCATGGTTCATCTCTCCCTCCAATTTCCTCCCCTTCATTTTTCCCTTCCTTCTCCTAATGTCCTCCATGCTATTCCTTAAGTTCCACAAATAAGTGAAACCGTATGATAATTAACTTTCTCTGCTTGACTGATTTCACTTAGCATAATCTCCTCCAGTCCCATCCATGTTGATGTAAAAGTTGGGTATTCATCCTTTCTGATGGCTGAGTAATAGTCCATTGTATATATGGACCACCTCTTCTTTATCCATTTGTCTGTTGAAGGGCATCTTGGCTCTTTCCAGTTTGGCTATTGGGGACATTGCTGCTATGAACATTGGGGTGCATATGGCCTTTCTTTTCACTACATCTGTGTCGTTGGGGTAAATACCCAGAGGTGCAATTGCTGGGTCATAGGTAGCTCTATTTCTAATTTTTTGAGGCACCTCCACACTGTTTTCCAAAGTGGCTGTACCAACTTGCATTCCCACCAACAGTGTAAGAGGGTTTCCCTTTCTCGACAACCTCTCCAACATTTGTTATAAAAGTTATAAATTCTTGAAAATATTTTTTAAAAACACAACCCTTTAGAGGTATCAGAGAATGACCAAGAGCAGGTAGAAATTGGAGGGGAGCTTAGCCTTATAAGAGGGAGCCTCTAGTGGATGCAATTTGTGTTCAGGCAGTTGCAACTTTTTGGCTGATGGTACTAGTTAGTCATCATAGCATGTAAGTGGATGGAATTCAAACATAAAGTAGAAATATTAAGTAAAGCTTCCCATTGGTTTCCCAACTGAACATCTCATTTCAGTGCAACTTGTGCTTTTCTTTATTTCCCCATTTTTAAATTTATTTAAATTTTAGTTAACATATAGAGCAATATTGATTTCTGGACTAGAATTCAGTGATTCATTATTTACATAAAACACCCAGTGCTCATCACAACAAGTGCCCTCTTTAATACCTATCACCCATCTAGCCATCCCCCACCCACCTCTCTCCATCAATCTTCAGATTGTTCTCTATCATTAAGAGTCTCTTATGGTTTGTTTTCCTCTCTCCTTTCTTTTTTCCCCCTTCCCATATTTAATCCATTTTCTTTCTTAAATTCTACATATAAGTGAGATCATATGGTATTTGTCTTTCTCTGACTTATTTTACTTAGCATAATACACTCTACCTTCATCCACATCGTTGCAAATGGCAAGATTTCCTTCTTTTTGATGGCTGAGTAATATTCCATTATATATATATATATATATACACACATACACACACACACACACACACATATATATATATATATAGGCCATATATATATTCCACATCTTCTTTATCCATTCATCAGTTGACAGACATTTGGGCTCTCTCCATAGTTTGGTTATTGTTGATAATGCTGCTATAAACATCAGGGTGCATGTACCCCTTCAAACCTTCAAATTTATATTTTTGTATTCTTTGGATAAATACCTAGTAATGTAACTGCTGGATCATAGGGTAGTTCTGTATTTAACCTTTTGAGGTTCTCCAGAGTGGCTGCACCAGTTTGCATTCCCACTAACAGTATCCTCATCCTCACCAACACCTGTTGTTTTTTGTGTTGTTAATTTTAGCCATTCCGACAGATGTGAGGTGGTATCTCATCATGGTTTGGATTTTTATTTCCCTGATGATAAATGATGTTGAGCATCTTTTCATGTGTTTGTAAGTCATCTGAATGTTTTCTTTGGTAAACATCTTAAGCTTCTGCCAGTGGGGATGTGGATCTCTCAAGACCTCCTCCTGTGTACTTTCCCTTCATGTGATAAAGAATTATCAAAGACTTTTACAAATTTGGTTTTATTTCATAGGCTTTAGATATAATACCAGTTTATAAAACCGTGTTCTGGTGCTGATGCAGATTTTCCTATTTATGTTTCATAGTTATTTAACTGAGGGCTGGGACATAGACTTAAGTAGCTGTGTTTATCCCACCACCTATGTAAAAGTCTCCTTGTAGATGTATTTTTATTATTATTTTTTATGCAAGCATGCAGAACAGTAAAGAACATTTCCCACATATAACAAATATTTGTATTTTTCCATATTTGCCTTACAAGCCTTTTATTTACAGGTTTTTTTGGTACCATTTGTAAATCTGTCTCCCCCTCTCCAAAGGTAATGACTATACTGAAATTTGTGGGCATCCATTCTGTCTATAATATGTAATATTGTTTTTATGTTCTTTACATAAACAAAATACATGAAACCATTTTACATCTCAAAATTTAACAATAATCAACATTCAAAAATTTAAAATAATCAATAGGTATTAGCCAATTTTTTTGACCAATATTTTGACCATCAAGAAAACATAGTCAAATTACTCTAAAGACAGTCAAGAAAGTTTTTTTCTCTTCTCCTAGGAAATATTGTTTATTGAGCTTTTATTTCAATAATGTTTATTCTGAACATCCCTTATTTATATGTTGCTTCATGATAATCCTTGGTTTTTCAGAAGTTATTATTTCAGTATCCATTTATTGCAATCTAATATGAAGATTCTAGGTGGCAAATTATAATGCTTGAAAGAGCTTTTATGCTGTATTTCTAATGATCATTTTCATTTGAAATAAACATAAATGTTGTATTTGATTCAAAAACACTTGATTTTAATAATAGGAAATCTTGATAAAATGTGTCATATATTTTATTTACCCCTAAATATTTGAAAAATACTTTTTATATTTGATTCTAAACCATGACTGGATTTTTCTGTTTCTGGATGAGATCTTCTAAGTCTGGGAGGGCAGATTAGGGGTTTAATGAGTGTTTCCTTTCATATACTTCTCAATTAAAATTTAATAATTTAACTTAAACTTGTATAAGTCTTTAATTTGAAGTATGTACTTCATAACATGTGTTAACATGTTTTTAGAGCCTTATTAGTAATATTCTTATGTGGCAGTTCACTTTTATTATCCCTTATAAAGTAAGAAAACTGAAGCATAAGAAGTTAAGTAATAACTTACCCAAGGTCACATACCTGATAAGTAGTGGAATATGAATTCATACCCAGAAAATTCTGGCCTTAGAGTCTGAACTCATAGCCTACTCACATGCTTCCTCTTAGTCACTTAATTTTACAAGCTTGTAAGTACATTAAGGCTTAAAATTGTCATCATAGGATAAGAGTTGTAACTTATAAAGAGTGGGCCATAGCCTTAATCCTTCATTCATGACTAATGTGAATGAGTTTTTAGATCCTTTCCTGGGATCAAATTTTAATACATGAGAAGGAGAGAGGGAGAGATGTTAGTAGAAGGGTCAGAAAAAGCAGAGTAGGGGGAAAATTCACTTATTTCCAAATTTTGTATATGGATTCCTCTAGAAATAGCAGTGGTTTGGGGAATTGGAAACCCACATTCTGGGGCCAAAGTAGTCCAGAAGTACAATGAGAACAAAGGGTTGGAATTTCTAATCCTCTAAAAGTAACTGAGCCTCCACTGGGAAAGCACAGGTCTGCTATGCACCAATGTTTTTGGCAGGGGAACTAAAAGGGTGGTTATACCATTTCAAAAAGTCAAGAAATGCTTAAAGAGGGTTTGGGGTTGTTTTTTGTTGGTTTGTTTTTTACAAAGTGGTTTTTTTCTGTAAATTTCTACTTAGATTGTGACTATTAGGAAATCTATGTGTTTATTTGAACTTTGAAGCTCTTTTATATTTTTCTAGGGCCCTAGCCTACCTTTAAAGGTATCTTGTTGAGTTTTTATATTAGTTAGTGGTCAATCAGTACCTCTCCTCCACATAGTATTTCAGAGATCCAGGCTATTTCCGCCCTCTGGGGTCACCAGCCTATAGAACTGCATTAGAATTAATCTGCTCCAGGAGAATATAAGCAAAGTATTAAAAGTCTTGGCTAAAGTTATAAATTTCCAGTTATAAAATGAATACCTCATGGGATTGTAATGTACAACATAGTGATTTAGTTACTAATACTGTGGGCAATAATAAAATTTGAGTATCAAAGAAAATTTTGGAGAAACTGCTTCTATCACCATGATCTTGACAGTTTTTCAATACTTAAAGACTGCCTAATAAGTCAGTGGTGATATTAACAAATGTGATTTTTTGATATCATATGAAGAATCATGTCAACATTTAGAAGATCTGTGTAATTCACTGAACCAGTATTTTTCAAATGATCAGTACATTGTATTTTTAAAAATAATACATGGATTTTAAAAATGTGGTTTTAGATTCCACATTGCAACCTACCATTAAGAAGTTACAACTTGTCAAGTTTTGGTGTAGTATCAAAGAGTATTCGCAATTATATGACAAAGCGATTCAAATACTCATTTTTTCCAATTATATGTGTGATACCAGCTTTTCTTCATATACATCAATATGCAAATATAATCTTAAAAATGTATCACAACAGAACAAATTCAGAAGTAAATATTGGAATCATGCTGTCTTCTACTAAGGCAGATGTTAGATTTTTAAAATGTGAAACAATGTTACTCTTCTCAAAACTTTTCTTGAAAATAGTTATCTTTTTCTAAGAAAAAAACAAGATGTGGTATATGCACATACATACACAATGGAATATTACTAAGCTATAAAAAAAAGAATGAAATTTGCTGTTTGCAATGACATGGATGGAGCTAGAGATATAATGCTAAGTGAAAAGTCAGTTAGAGAAAGACAAATACCATATAATTTCACTCATATGTGGAATTTAAGAAACAAGACAAGCAAGCAAAGGTGGGGGGGGTAAGGAGAGAAGCAAACCAAGAAACAGACTCTTAAGTATAGAGAACAAACTGATGGTTACCAGAGGAGAGGTGGGTGGAGGGATGGGTGAAATAGGATGGGGATTAAGGAGGGCACTTGTGATCAGCACCAGCCGATATATTGAAGCGATGAATCACTCTATTGTGTACCTGACACTAATACTACATTAACTAACTGGAATTTAAATAAAAACTTAAAAAAAGAAAATATTTAGTTTTCCAAAAAGATGCTATTTAACATGAAATGAGCTTATTACTATTATTTTTAATGAACTAATGTTCAAGATTTCTCAGTTTTATTTTCTATTATAGGAAATACTAATAGATACAAAATCCATATAAACAAAAGTCCTTTGGTGTCTTCAGTTATTCTTAAGAGTATAAAAGAGCTCTGAGACCAAAAAGCTTGCGGGCTACTGCCCTACAGGAAATCACTGTGAAGGTGCTTGCTCCATGGCATTTGAGAGCTACCATATCTTGCTTGTAGTTTTACAGTTTCTGTGTTGCTTATCCCCAAGCTGGACTCAGTAATCACTATGGAGAATCCCCTAAACATAAGACTCAGATAATTTATTTACTAGGCCATAAGTATGTCTTGATTTGGAAACTTCTGCAGTTACTAATGTTTCTTCAGCACTGGCGTATTTAACTTGCACATTAAAAACTTGAATTCCTTGATCATGTTATATAACCTTTCTGGGCCTTATGTTTCCACCTGAAAAAAACTGATGTAATTAGATTAGATTATTTCTATATTCCCCTTCTCTAACTTTTTATTACACTATTACTTCTATTCTTAGATGCTGAATAATCTTCCCAAGTGGTTGTTGACTGTTGAGGTGGAATTAGCAATAGAGACTGGTGGCTTACATTTATTATTTTAGAACTCTTCCCCGTCCATATTTGTGTGCATGTGCATGTGTGTGTATGTGTGTGTATCTTGTGTGTGTGTCTTGTGTGTATATATATATTAATCTGTGTCCTAGAGGAATGCTAAGGCAGGTCAAGAGCAGAACTGGGGTAAAACATGAGTGTATGTATATATGCATGTGTGCATATATATGACTTTCAAGAAATAAAATAACCTATGCTCCATGTATAATGCTGTCTCAGAATTGCTTCTTCTAATCCAAAACATATTTAAACCATAATTTCTCCTTGACATTTGAGATGTTTATTGTCATGTGGGCTTAACTTTTCTCCAAAGTTTTAAACTGAAAAAAAATGTTCTGTTTTTGTTTTTAATGAAATAGACAGCAGATAGTTAAAATTTGCCTTCCAAACCAAATGGCATATCTCCCTTTTTAGGACTGGAATGTAAGCAGTTATAGAATTTCAGTATCTGGAATGACTCAGGATTTACAAGCCAGCTCCCCTTAACCAGTGTATTGTTAGATTATTTACAAGACTAAAGTTTTAATGTTCATTTCTCTTATTGTGGTACAATACCATATAACCTTTTAAACTCAGATGAAGATCATTTTTGAAAAACTATTTTGATACCTCTCTCCTAGTTTTTAAACCCAATTTTTCTCCTTATCTGAACTTGAAGGTTAAAAAGTTAAAGTACCTCATCGTTTTTTATAAACTGTAGTTTAAACTACATGCAGTAAAAAATCCTTATATTCAGTTAACATGTAACTTTTAAGTACTTATGTGTATATCATTATACTTAGTGCTGGGGGCGATAAGAAATAGAAAGGAAACATAGTGTACTAGTAACTAGTTACTCCATACACAAGTACTAGTTGATATTTAGCAAACGATACATGTTCCAGAAATAGTAATAGCCCAATGAACAATAGCCCAATAGTTACTTGAATTTTAATTTGTACCTCTGTCAATTTGCTACCTCTTCACTATCAGCAGTGCTTAGGGACAATAAAAAAAGAACCCTTAAAACTTGAAAATAAAGTAGCTTTCTGAGAATTAAGCCAGTAAAATCTTGACATTGTGCTTTCATTATACAATATTGAAAGAAAACCAAGGAATTTGCATGGCTAAAGAGAGAGGAAACCCCAAAACACTAAGATGGCCAGAGATAGAAACTCTCAATGTGGTAGTAATTTAATAAGTTGTATTATCGTATTGTCATTGGTTGTATTTTATACTATGTGGAGAAAGACTATATGAACAAAAGTGGGATAAATAACATGTGGCACAAAATAGGTGTAGCCTGAAGAATCAGAAACCTGCAGTGTTTTTACAGAACTATCCAGATTTGCAGGGGTATAGCTCAGGGGTAGAGCATTTGACTGCAGAACTATCCAGATTTGACCATTGTCAATTACATCTTTATAATAATTTGGATAATATATCTTTCAAAACCATCTTACCTCCCTTTGCTTTGATGCCATGTTTACTAAGCAACTTTCTAATTACTAATTTAGCTTTTAAGATAATCTTCCATGATCTGCCACAAGGTGACTGGCAGATATTTGGTTTGTTGATTGGTGGTTGTGGTCAGAGGTGCTGGATAGCATGAAAAAAAAAGTGGGTTCTCATTGTATTATGAAATGCATTAACATTCTTTATTGAGTGACAAGAAAAAGCCATGCTAAGGTGAAGTAAATAACAAGGATTTGAATTCTTCTGAGAGATTTAGTCACCAGTTTGAACAAAACAAGGTGGTATGTTTCTATGCATTTGTAACAATTACATTTGTATCTTGCTTAAATAATGGAATCATGCTTTGTAGTGAGGTATGCTCATTATTCTGTCACTGAATTGGAATTGGTTTAACCATTTATTTAGTGACAATTTACTGAGTGCTTACTCTATGCCAGAGACTTTCAAAGGTGCTTGGGATACATTAAGTGAACAAAACAGGTAAGATCCCTTTCATTATAAAACTTCTGGGTTGGTGAGGAGAGGCAGACAATGGGACAAACACAGTGTACTAAGGAAACTATAAAGTTTGTGTTGAGCAGTGAGAAGATGGGACAGGTAAGGTGGAGCCAATTGTTTAACAGCTTTGAATGATATTTTAAAGAATTTAAATCCAATAGGCAATAAAGAACCAACATGGATTCTTCAGCTTGCAACTGACATAGTCAA